TCCTTACCTGCAGAATGGGGATGAGTCAGATTAAACAGAGGCACTCCCTGCCTTCCCAGCCATGCTGACTGTGAATTGTTGGTCTGTGCTTTTGTCTCTCCCATAGGGAGGTGCCTAGGGGCAGGACTCTGTTAGAATGGTCTTGGCATCCCTGGTCCTGAGCCTCCACTGAAGTTTGTTGAGTAGGACGGGCTGGCACCCTCTCCTTTAAAGTTGTCTTTAAAGAATTAGAGCTCCCAAAGCCATTTCATCAAGAGATGGCTGTGCAGAGGAAGTCCAACGACGCTGGTGCCTGCCTATGTTCAATGAATTTCTAGGGAGGCCCACAGCACACTAACTACCAGGCTCCTTGGCCCCCATAGGCCTGGGTTCATCCATTTGTTCATTCCAGTCCAGTCTGTTGCACTGAACTCCTTCATTTATTCATTCGTGCAAGCAACATTTCCTATTCCATGGAAAGCCATCCCTTTTGGCTTGGCAAACTGTAGTCCCAAACCCTTGCAGATAGGCTCAGAGGGCAGAAGCTGAAACCAGGAGGCCTAGGGACCCTCCTCAAAACACTTGTTGGAGGTAACCAGGCGGTGGCCCTTCTGACGTCCAGCCACTCTCCCAGGGGCCAAATGGCGGCACCCCTTTCCTACTGGCAGCAAGCTCAGAGACCCTCTGCTCAAGCACACACCAAGCAGAATGACTACACAGTTCCCTTTTCCCACACAGGCCGAGGGACAGAGCTGCACTTTCAAACCTCGCTACCTGCCTTGTGCATGAGAAAACAAGGCTCGGGGAGTGTCTTGAGCAGGTGTTCTGGATTCAAATCCCAGCTCTGTAGAACATGAGCAAGTTGCACTACTTATCCTCCAAACTTCAATTTCCTCATCTGTGAAATGGGAACACTCCAAGTGGGTATAAGTAACAGCCAGCCTTTCTAGGAGCTTCCTAGGGCCCTCCTCTGACTGCTGTAATGGCTCCTGAGTGTTGGCTCCTCCTGACGAGCAGCAAACATAAGTTTCCTCTGAGTTCTTACTGGAAGTACAATTCCACAGGTTTTTTTTTTTTTTCTTTTCTCATCTACCTAGAGTCCATTAAGTTGTGCTTAGTAATTATTAAAAGGTTATTAAAGATCACCAAAATTTGATGACCCTAAATGAAAATCAGCAGGACCTGAGACCTCCATGTCAGAGTTTGAGAATCTGGTCACTTCACAAAAAGACCAAGTTCCTGACACATAACTGGACTCTTGGCAGGTGGGGCAGGGCCCACAGAAATGATGAGGCCCTTGCTGGGGCCGCCAGTAGCTATGGGTCTCAATCATTGCTGCTCTGGCTTTCCTAAGGGGAGTAATCTGCCTGCAGCTCTGTGACATGGTCAGATTCATTTGCTGCGAGTTGTGTAGTGATGATGAGGGGCAGTGATGCCCATTATACCAGTTGTATTTGGGGCCTAGAGTTTTCTAGTGACAAGGCTATAAGCTCTGTTTGCACTGTGGGCTATCCCCACTGGACTGCTAATGCAGACCATGTACAATCTTCCTCAAATCGCCATTTCCTGGAGCACCTGGTGGGAGATAGGCCAACTGTCACAAATTTGGGCCACTCAAAAAACTTGTCACATCCTATCAAGGCATCCATAACAACTTCTGGGTCATTTTAGGGTTATGGGACAGTGTTTCATGAGATGAAATCACGTGTGTATGTTCGCTTTCACTCCTAGAGTCAATAAGCAGTGACTCGAAGCTGTCAAGAGTGACATGTCCATTCATCTTCCCACTTGACTTTTCCCTGGTTTGATGTCATCAAAGAATTCACTTCCCCTGAACAGTAGGATGTGTGGGTAGTGGGAGCTGTTGTCCTAGCCTACTATCCAGGCTGCTTCTCAGAGTGGAAGCTGGTGCTTGGGGCATTGACACAGAGTAGAGGGTGAGAGCAGTAGGACAGTGCTGGCCAGGGTGAGCCACAGAAGGCCAGGCCACTGTGCTTCATCACCCTCTGGGCAAGGTACCGAACCTTCTGAAGCTCTGACAGCTATCTAGGAGTGAACTGGGGAAGGCACTACAGCTCCATAAAACACTGTTTGCATATTATAGTTCAGCTTTGATTCTTGAATCTGAGGCCCAAATGTCCTTTCTGAAATTCAAGCAGTAGTTATAAGTCACTATGGGCCAAACCCAGCCGAAGGCATGTTTTGTTTGGTTCAGACAATTTTAGTTTTTAACCAGGAAATTTTACATAATAATTAAATCAGGTAAAATTTGATCCCTGGACCTATACTCCCATACAGCAAGATTTGGTTGGCACCGGGCAGCAGTTCTCCAGGTCACCACAGTCTCCACCACTCAGTATCACCTGCTACCTGGCCTCTTCAACACTTGCTTGGCCCTGCCAGCATCTGGCCTTGCCACCCAAGGTGAGAGCCCAGAGAGAGCTTGTGGGCCTGGGGGTTAGGGGGCGGATGGGAGGACACCCAGAGGGCTCTTGAGTCTGCCTTCTCCAGCTAGGTCATCCTGCAGAGCCAACAGGGAGTCAGTAAGCTGCATTTGAACCCAGACACATTCACAAGCAGAGGGCTTTGACAGGCCCTCTGAGCCTCTTCCTGATCCAGGGAGCCTCTAATCCTGTAGCAGCATAACCTTGGGCTTCTCCGCCCCTGCACTCCCAACTTGCAGCCAGCAATGCTCTCTCCTCTTTCACATGGCACTGATGGCTTGAGTTTATTGAAGAGTCTTTCACAATTAAGGCACTTCAAAAAAGTTAAAAGTAATTCTTTATGGGAGGAAACGGCAGGAAAAGACAAGGAGGTAGGGGTGGGTAGTGAGGGTGGGTGGGATGAAGGAATCTGACCAGTTATATTTAATAAAAAGCTTAAAAGCCATAAACAGGAAGCAGACCTATTAAATAGGCAACACTGACCTAACAAAGGAATGTGAACTTGAGTTGACTGAAGCAGCGTCACCATGTCTCCCCTCCCTCCACTCCTATCCAGAACCCAGGGCCACCAAACAAGCTTCCTTTTACGTTCTGGCCTGTTTGGAGAACACTGCAACTCTGAATTTGCCTTGGGCTAGAGGAAGGGGAATTGAGGGGAAGGTCAGCACAATCCTATGTACCCCAAAAGAGGCAAAGACATGCCCTCTCCTCTGCACCAGTAGGGCCCCCAGCAGCCTGGGGGAGGGGCAAGTGCTTTGAGGTGCAGCTCCTTCCACCAGGCAGCTTTGCTCTTGCTCTCCCAGGACCCTGCATGCCTCCTTCCCAGATGGCTCCCACAGGTGTGGGCCCAGGGCCCTGAGGACTGAGGGCTGCCCACTGGTCTGCCTGGCTCAAGCCTTGTGCATGTTGCCTGGAGCCCAGAGCAGAGCACTGGGGGCCCCAAGTTTGGCTGAGGTAAGGACCAGAGATGCAGCTGAAGAGCAGCGGATTGGGTAGGGCAGGATCTTGAAGCCCAGAATCAGGTCTAGAGGCTCCCACTGGTATGTCACCTCACCTGCCCGGAGACAGTCTCTCCATAGGGTAATGGGGCTCAGCCCCACCTGAACAGGGCCTTGGGACACAGTCAAACAGCAGAGCCAAGTATGCAGGGAAGCAGGCCTTTGAGGACTACTGCTCTCCCTCATGATAAGGCAAATGCCACATGTGCCCTCTGGGCTTTAGGGAGGATCCAGGAGGCAAGGCTCCAGCCAGGCTCTTGAGAGAGGAGGTGCTGGCTTTGCATGGTGAGTTGCCAGGAGCTGGGAGTCCTGCTTCCTAGCTGGAGCCAGGGCACTACCCTATCTGGAGATTTTACTCAAAAAACTACACGCCAAGATCACATTGCTCCCCATGACTCCCTCCCTCACAGAATACAACCCAGAGTTTTGCAGCTATGCAGAGTACAGCAACACACTGATGCGAGGTTAACTATAAAATCCTTCAACTTTGTGGCATGTTGGATCACTGTCACATCATAATGCTGTGGGATAAAAGATAGTGTATTGGTTCATTCCATAAACCTGCTAACACGGAAGCATCCCTTGGTCCTTATCCTGTCGTCAGGTGCTATAGCAGAGCCTCGGCTGGCATCAAACAGACCTCCATGCTTGAGCCGCTCCTGCCCAATTCCCTGTCCTCAAATGCACACCAAGCTCATCCTCACCTCATGGCCTTTGTACATGTCTCCCTCCCTCTCCTAGGCACCTTCTTCCCTAGGTATCTGTATGGTTCCCTCCCTTTCCTAGGTCAGGCCTCCACTCGACTATAACCCCTTCAGAGAGGTCTTCCCTGACTGCCCTGTCCAGACAGCACACTTGGCAATTTTTGGCCATCTCCCTGTTTTATTTTTCTGTGCAGCACAGTCTATCTTTACTGAGTGTGTTCATGACTGTCCCCTCCCACGACCACAGCACCTTGTCCAGTGCATAGTGTAGGACCTCAGGAAAATGGGTATGGGAAGAGTGCATGGGTAACAAAAGGGTTGACAGAGCTAAAGAAATCCAATGGCTCAATTTCTAGCAGCAAGTGCACACCCTTGACCCCACCACAGGCAAGGCCAATTCAGACTGAGTGGAGGCTCAGTGGGGTCTGCTAGTCTCAAAAGGAGGTGGCAACTCACATTCTGGGAAAACCTACTGGCTACCAAGGCAGTGAGCCAGGCCCTTGGCAGTCTCAATCACTAACTCCCCGCTCCAAACTGCCTGTCAGATCAATATTGTTATTCCCACTTCACATACGAGCCATGTGACACATCCAAGGTCACTCCACATGGTCATAGAAAAGCGAGAACTCAGATTCAGAGCTTGAACTTGGCCCAGACCAGATACTGACTCCACATTAGCCTTCTCCAAGATCCACACTGGCATTCCAGCCATAAACTGGTGGGACCAGAGGCCATGCCCTCAGGTAGGCTGAGCCCTGCATGTCGGCACAGGCAGGCCTAGAACCCTGAGCCAATGGGCACTGTTGGGGCATCATCTCTGCCATCTCTCTATGGCCTGCCAGCACCCAAGAACAAGAGGAAATAACCATACTCACCAGGGATGTGGATCTTGAACTTGCCACTCTGGCCGAAGGCACTGTCAATGACCCCCAGTTCCCCAGTGGACAGGTGCACCTTGAGCCCCACAAAGAGCTGGATGTTGGTCTCCTTTTTGAACAGGGAGCGGCCAATCACGCTGTAGTCATCTATCACCTGTTCACACATGCCCAGCCCCGGAGAGAGAAAGCATCAGTGCCCACTGGAAAAGGCTAAGGCAACACCCTCCCAGGTGATCAGTCCCTCTTACCAATAATGGAAAGTAATGAGGACCAACCCCTCGTCACCATCACTACCTACCACCACTACCACCTACTGAGCCTGGGCTGTACGTCAAGCAGCTGTGAGTGCCTTGTGTGGATCAACATATTTAGCCCCACAGCAGCAACACAAGAAAGGCACTCTCTCCACTTTACAGATGTGGAAATAGAGGCACAGCAGAGTCAGGTCATCTGTCCAAAGTCACAGAGCTCACAAGGTAGGGGTAGCTGAGAATCCAAAGCTGTCCTGCCTATACCTTCCTCTGCATGGCCCTGCCTGTCCCCAGCATTAGTCTAATGACCACTAGTGGCACTCTCTTTATGATAGCTTTTCCGGATAACCCAGGCTGAGAAGATGATATCTACTCCTGAGCTTGCATCCAGGCTTTCTAGAACATACCTCACCCTCTCTCTGGTTTCCCCTCCCATGAGGTGCCTCTGGGAACCTGGTCTCTGCCACCCCATCCCAATACACATGCATATTTCAGCCCAAGGCTTTTTACTCCCTCTGCCCAGAGCCCCCTTCCTGGCCTGGCCCACATCTACTTCATAGCCCCACTGTCCCCTCCTCTACAATGCCCTCCTGTCTCTATCCCAACAGAAGTCCTATTTCCCCTGGTTCCCTAGAGTCCATGCCAGGCTCTCTGCTGCAGAGCTTGTGCTCCCTTGCCTCTTGGTGGAGGCCCTGGGCTGAGAAGAGAGACACATGTGCATGAAAAAGTTTGGTAAAGCCCTGATTTCATCATGAGTTGTATTCATCTTGAACCTTCTCCCCATGGGACTGAGTGTGGACTGAAAGTATTAGTCTCCTGCTCCTGAGGCCTCTTAAAGCTCAGGTACTCCATCTGGGAAAGATGGAATGACCAGGAGGCCTTGGCCTGCTAGCCTCCCTGCCCTGCCCAGCTCCTCTCCAGAGCCTGTGTTAGGAAGGTGCTGGGCCTTTGTAAAAGAGAAGTAGGAATACACGTGCATGCGTGTTAAAGACCAGACCCTACCCTAGATGATCTCAGCAGGGCTGATATAGTTTCTTCCTGAGATTTGCTGCTCTTTGGAGAGGGGCCCATGCCCCTCCTGGCCTCTGTCACATTGGATCCTGCACGGGGGCCACAGAAGGAGAAGGACTTGGGGAGGTTCCCCCTATTCTTCAGCCCCCAGGTACTAGCCTGTGTGCTTTCTGGGGACACAGGATCTGGTCCAAGCAGTGTGGAGGCCAGAGGTGTTGCCAGCAGTGGGACCTGCCGCATCTACCAGGCTCCTTTCCTGAGGCGGAGACTCCCGGGGGACTTCCATGGACTGGGCTCTCCTTAGCCCCAGAAACTTCAGCTAAGATTAAGCCATGGGCCCCAGACGGATTGTTTTGAAAAGCAGAAACTGTCCCATTTACCCTAAAAACCTTTTGGAAAAACATATCCTGTTCTATTTGATTCATAGTGCCAGATAAAAGGTATTTGCATTCCTCCTCTCCCGGGTGATGGATGAATTGGATACAAATAATGATAAGAATAATCATTTCCACTTGCATGGCCATTTAGAATTCACAAATCTCATTCCCACACGTGAACTCCTCCTCGTCCTTCAGGACTTGACTCCAGCAGAGCAACCCTTGCAGGCTGGGGCTGCTGTGGGCTCTGCCCTCCCTCCTCGGCTCTGTCTGTCTGTGGGTGCTGCTGCTCCTGCTGCAATGGGTGTTCAGCAAGACTGGTGGGCGAACTGAATGCAGATGGTTCCTCTGACCTGCAGAACATGCAGTCAGGGCAAATAGATGTCACTAGCCCCAAATGCTTTCCCATCCTTCCCAGCTCCCAGGACCCTTGGACCACACCCACAAGAATGGCCTGCATGTGGAGCTCCGTTCCCAACATCGTCAGGAGCCTTGAAGGCAGTGCCCCTCTATTTACATTCAGCAGTCCAGCCTAGCACAGTAGGTGCCCAAGACCCAATGGCTCTGGACTAGCCATTCCACATTCCCCATGACTAAAGGCACTCACTGTCTCTTTCCGTCCCCAGCTCAGCCTCTACTGCCAAAACTGCCTGTCACTGGGAGAAAGAGAGCATCTCAGAGCCCCTCAGTCCCCCAGCCCTCAAAGCCCCTCAATCATCAGAGCCTCTAAGCACCCCTCGGCCTATGCTGACCAAGGCATTAGGAGGTCCCACTG